CGCCAGCACTCAGAGCCCCCGCAGTAATTGAATCGATAACGAGCTACCGCGATCCGCAGCCCGAGTTCGAGGCGATGTACCTGCTGATGCCGACAAGCCAGAACGTCGAGCGCCTCATCAAAGACTTTTCGGGTGTCAGGCAATATGCCAAGGCGCATGTGTTCTTCATAGAAGGCAGGTCGTGTGCGTCGTTTGCCCGTGTTCTGCTGACACCTTGCGCGCAGGGATTGAGGAGCCGGTTCTCAAGCGCCTGATGGCGTCTCCGGCGGAGCCCTATCTCGAGAAGCTGACGGAGCTGTTTGTGAACTTTTGGGGTTTGACTATTCCTTGTACCCCTACGCTCCTTCTGACCTCTTGGCAGCCGCGGAGGCGCAGACATTCTCTTTACAGGCCCCCGAGTTCTTCTTCAGCATGTACAGCCCGCCCCGAAGTGAATCACAGTATAAAGCTGCTCGCGACCGGCTCGAGGAGGAGCTCCGATTCGTCGCGAAAGTTGTGCGTCTTCCTTTTTTGGTTTCTTATTTTCCTGTCCCTTACGTTCCCCCGCAGATCACCAACGTCTGCATCACATTCAATGAAAACCCCTACATCCGCTATTACGTGCCCACAAATCATCCTCCGCTCGGGGCCCTGAAACCCCACGCGTCCACACGGCCCCCGCCGCCTCCTGAGGCGAGCGGACGTTGGCGCACCAATCTCGCACGCGGCGCTGAGGCGCGCGCGTACGAATCCGTCGACGGTGACTACCTCACCAAAATTCTCGCCCACTTCGTGCAGAATAACCTCGACGAGTACAAGAAGGCGAATCCCGAATTTGGGGTGCGTGTTGCCAGTCGGCATGTCGAGTCTACGTAACCTGATCGCCGTTTATCCAGAAACCGACGGACCCGTCCGAAGCGCAGCGGCCACGGGGAACACTCTTCATTACAGACCGCGCGATGGACATGATTGCTCCGTTCGTGCACGAGTTTACATACCAGGCCATGGCGAACGACCTGCTCCCCATTGAGGACGGGTCGAAATACACGTTCGTACTTTATTTTGTATATTCACGGTTGTGCTTACAACGTCCTCTAGGTATAAATTCCAGTCCTCAATAGGAGCGTATGAGGACAAGACGGCGACGCTGTCGGATGCGGATACGGTCTGGACGGAGGTCCGGCATATGCACATGCGGGAGGCTATCGACAAGCTCATGGCCGATTTCAACAAGTTTTTAGAAGAGAACGCGGTATTCAAAGGGTGTGTGTTGCACTAGCCGCTGCCTTTACCGAGCGCTTATCTTGTCTGTGAAGGGAGGGTGCGGCGAGCTTGAGTGACATGAAGGAGATGCTTGCGAGTCTCCCACAATACCAGGAGCAGCGAGAAAAGGTGGGATTGGCCGCTCCGTAGTTCATGCGTTTACCCGTCCCAAATAGTTTTCGCTGCACCTGAACATGGCCCAGGAATGTATGGGCCTTTTCGAGCAGGACAAGCTGCCCCTTGTGGCCCAGATCGAGCAGGTACTCGCAATGCAGACAATCTGCAAGGCTTTGCTCATGTATCCTGATAGGACTGTGCTACGGGCGTGACTGCTGAAGGCAAAAGCCCCAAAAACCTGGTGCAGGACATGGTGCCCCTTCTTGACAGCCGAGAAGTAATGTATGCCTCAAAGCCTCTCTCTCGTGCGCTTGACTAATGCGGCCACGCACCAGAAACCTCAACAAAGTGCGCATAGTCGCCCTGTACATCCAGCATCGAGAGGGTGTGCCAGACGAGGACCGGCGGAGGCTGTATCAGCATGCGCGGCTGACGATGGCGGAGCAGGATGCTGTCAACTCGTTAATCCATCTTGGTGTTCGTATCACCCGGGTGCGCGTCCTTCTTTCTCTCTCCATTAGACTGTCTCTTGACCTTTACCATAGGGACCTGGGGATCGTGATAAGAAGAAGATTAAACAGAAACCTAACAATAACGAGGAGTACGAGTTGTCGCGGTTTAAGCCGACCATGAAGACTATTTTGGAGGTACGACCGGTACTTCCAATTAACTCGTAGCGATTGACGGTGTGCCGCAGGACCATGTTGTGGACAAGCTGGACAAGTCACTATTCCCTTATGTCCGAGAATCTCCGTCCGCCGCTGCACCTTCTGCTAGCCTGCGAAGTGCCCCAGTACAGACGACCTCGCTACGAAGTCAGAAGCCAAATTGGCACAAGGCAGCTCAACCTGGTGTAACCAAATCCGCGAGCGGATTATCGTCTTCGTCGCCGGTGGCATGACCTACTCAGAGATCCGAGAAGCGTACCAGCTCTCGACATCGCTGAACAAGGATATTTACATCGGTAATCTGGTCTTCGTAGTCTACCCGTGTTGTTGCATTCTGACATCCGTGTAGGCTCAACCCACGTACTTACCCCCCGCCAATTCATCAAGGACCTCCAGGTGGTCGAGCTGCAAGGGCAGGGCTCGAAGGCGATCCCGAATGGACTGAAGGACGGTCGTGGTGGAAGGTCGTTCCAGGAGTATTATGACGAGCGATACTACCTGCGGGATGCGCCTCCGCCCGCGCGGCCCAAACCTGCCGCATCTTTGGCACCACCACGCCAGGTCCGGCCAAGCCCTTCGCCAGCCGATTCGTACGCGTCAAACGTGTCTAGTGCGCCGTCTATGACGCCCTCGGCCCAAGAAGAGAAGAAGAAGAAGAAGGGGCTGTTCCGGTTCTAACTGATTCGTCCGACAATGAGAGAATTGCCTACTGCGATACCCGTAATACTCGTTGGGGGATCATGTTTTGGAATGGGGCCATGGAACTGAACATTATCTATTTGCTCAAGACATTGTACTAAGTACCGATTAATGTGTAACGTACAGAGTGGTTACATTGGATGGTGAATATGAATCTACGTTCTCCATCGGGAAAGGTACTCGTCGAGGGTGGTCATGGATCAAGCATGTGGCCTTACATACGAAAAATGGGGTGGTGGGCGGTTTAATTGCACAAAAGCAGCTCCTTTTCATCCAAATGCGCTGGGGGCTCTGTGTCATTACTGGTAGGCAATACGAAATAGGAAGCTTACCCGCAACATCTTCCCGATCCTCGTTCGTGGGAGCAGTCGCCATTGCATTGGACATGTCAAAGGACATCGACCACAGCTGTTTACGGAATGTGTACTCGCTGAGCTCACTCTCGATTTGGCTTCGCATCCTGGCGAGAATGGACTCGTCCTTGGACGTGGGTGGTAGCCAGCCCGGTGTCAGACTACCGTGGCAGCCGTCGAACGCCACTTTCGACGACGAGGGACGCCGCTCGTTAAATCCCTGCAGCCATAGGTAACAAGGATAACAGTGAAGTTTTGAGGAAAAGACATAAGGAATGAGGTCCTCGTTGGCAAGAGGCTCTGCATCACCCACGACTCTCGCGACCAGTTCACACTCGGGGTGGATTCTAGGGCTGATAGTTAGTTCCTTATCAGTAGACGAAGCCGCCATGGTCCGGAGATCGTTCTGGAAGTCTGCGAGAGTGACGTTCGAAGGCTTCCAGGTGTTGAACTCGCTCAGATGAAGTCGGATGGGCTTTGCCGGTGGAAGTGAGATCGAGTCGACTTGTAGCTCAAGATCGGCAATCCACCCACGATGAGGGGACAGTGCGAGCCCGACCAGGGTCCGCACAGCCGATTCGATTTTGAGAGCTTTTTTAAGACTCTTTTCAAAGTCGAAGCCTAGGGATCGCTTGAGATGAAAACAGGCCGATAAATGTGGTCCTCACCGAGCTTTTTTGCCCTGACTTGAAGCTGCTCAGCTACATCGGGGGTATACTCGCCACCAACAGTCATATTATATAAGCCTGCAGTTGCGTCGAGAAACATCGGCCAATCCTCAGTGGAATCAGTGTCGAGACCCATCTCGGCCACCGCCGCTGCTGCCTTTGTGACAACTGAGAAATAAAGGACGAATTTCTTTTGAAATTCTGTACTGGAAGGGTCCGCTAGCAGTTCGGAATAGAGGTTGCTGAGTGGTTCAAGTCTTTTGATGACCCTTGCGACAGCCTTTTGTTGCACGAAGCTGTAAACCACATCAAGCATTTTGACAGCGATGTCGAGCTGTGCTTTAGGAAGCGTAGTAGAAGCGTCGGCGGTGGGCATCGATACTGCTACGTTCTTTCTGAGCTGCTGGACTAGTCGCCAGATAGCCGCTAGATGAATGTTAATTTCATGGGACGGGGGTCCGGCGTCCTGGCACATATGCAAGATAATCTTGCTGGGAGACAAGGTCGCCATTACGGTGACCTTGCCTGGGCCCGAATACGCCGTACACACTGTGACCAGCGCGTGCATTACGTTCACAAATTTCTGTTGACTGCGCGGATCCCAGGCGAAGCGCGGCCTGAGTACCGACTCGCGGTGGTTCATTGCATTTCGCTCCCCTCGTCCCAGGAGGGGGTTTTTGCGCAGTGATGCGGATGCAAGCAGCACTCGCGCCAACCTCTGTATGCCCGCATCTGTGGTCTATGAATTTGATCAACTAACGGTAATCGCGAATACTTGAGGCAACTAACGGGGAGAGTGGATGGTGAGGAAGAAGAGGATGCGTTAGGAGTGGATTGCGGCGAAGACTACGAGTGTCGAAAATGGTCAGCCGAAGTTGAAGGTAACCGCAAATATTGAGGAGACTGACAGGGCGTATCGGTGCAAGACGCAGCTATCAATATGGTCAGCCAAGACGATGAGAATAAACATTTGAGGCAACTAACAGAGGGTTCGGAGGTCTTAGAGGAAGAGGGGCTGGGGGCGGCGGACTGTGAATATGGTCAGTACACCAGTAATCACAACTGTTTGGGCAGTAGACAGGATGAACCAAACGGCAATATATGAGCGTTGGGAACAACTAACGGTCGAAGGCTCCATCTTGGCTGTGGCGAGAACTCCGAGAAGGGGTCAATCACATTTACCCCTAAAGATCTTATTTTGGTTCTCCAGTCTCTCCTTTCCCCAATATGCTTCTGTTAGGATAGCTAACATCGGCCTGATGGTCTAGTAGTATGATTCCTTGTTAGGGTCTTCACGTGATCCTTGATTACGTAATGGCGTTCGAGGAGGTCCCGGGTTCAATTCCCGGTTAGGCCCTTTTTAATTCTTTTTTTCACACCCTACAAATGATTCTGAAGTCTCCGCTTTCTTCCCAGCATCTCAAAACACTTTTTAGAAGTTCGGAAGAAGCGGAAACGCGTTTTTGAGATGCGTATTGATGCGAAAACAAGAATTGCCTTTTATGGATGCGAGCGTTTGTTTGTTCCCGCTTGTGGCGGTCGTCTTATGTACAACTTGGTGGAGTGCGAGCAGGCCCGGCAGCTGCGCATGCTCGTCGTCTCGTCCGATCTCGCGGCGTGTCTCCGCCATCGCGCTCTCAAGACAGTGCCGTCGGTGCGGCAGCGGAAGGACGGGACTGCGGTGGCGAATGCGAGCCGGGTCATTCACTGGTGCGGACACTGTGTAATACAGTGCCAGGGCTCGAAGTGTAGATCAGCGTGCTGCGCGGAAGCGCGGTGTGCACACTCGTGGGCTCGGGATGCGCAGGGTCGGGGCGGGGCTTGGCGGACCGATTTTGGTGACGTGCGCACGAGACAAGCGGAGGTACGTCGTATGCTGTTGGGAGCTTGTCTAATCCAGGGCTCTGCAAGTCTCCCGCTAGTTGTATCCGCAGAGTCCTCATCCTCACATCATACTCCGACGATGAACCGCGGGGAGTTGACGGTGGACAGCCGGGAGATCCTGCGCTGTGTCGGCGGACTTTTCGTGTGCGTCTGTGGGTTCGCTGCACTGTCGTTCCCTGCTACTGCATCGCATCTTCACCTTCAAATCTTCACCCGCATGTGAATGCCACAGAGACGCACATCTCGTCGACGACTCCGCACGAGATCAACGCTCGGAACCTCGAGGGGTTCATCTACAACGCGGACTCCGCCGAGTGCAGATGTAAAAACCCTGGACTAGATCGTGATGTGTACTTCATCAGCATCCGCGGGATTGACAGCAACAATGTTGCCTCGGCGAGTGAATGCGCGTTCTTTGGGCTGCAGGAGTAGCTGGAGACGATGTTGATGCGAGAGGTGTTCCCGACCCTAAAATGCACGGCATATGAGCAAGGGGAACGGTTTGATGCGGGCCTGGAGATGCCTGTGAGTGCCATCTATTTCTCTTCAATTATTTCTCTCTGAAGCAATACAATATTGCGCAGAATCCAACTACCGCCGCGCAGACGCCGATATTAATCTGGATAGAATAATATGGCTCACATCGGTCATTCGTGAGTCTTCGGAGAGATTATACTCGACGCCGAGATGAATATGGCTCACTGCAGGCCCCGTCGGAGATTAGTGAGTCCTCGTAGTTTTTTCTCCCGCCACTTGTGTTTAATATTATTATCTTATCCATACACCACCTCCTTCTCTCAGATGCGACTTCTCGGAGGCGCCAGCTGGTCTGAAATTGAGAACCAGCTACACCCCACTCGGTGTTCAACTTCTTCTAGATTCGCCACCTGAGCAGCCCATCGTGCAAATATGCAGCGGATCAGGAATACCTTTAATTATTCTGCCTGCTGGCAATGCTTCTGCGGGACTGTTCTTGGGTTTCCGAAGGCACTTCCAGGCAGTGCAGGTCACCGAATCGACACCTTTTGATTCATTGGAAGCGACAGATATGCGCCAAGAGACCGCTTGGTCCGTACAGATTTGCCGTTTACTCTTCCTCAAATCTTCTTGGTGTCGCCTTGACCAAAATTATGGAAGACGCGCGTGAGCAGGTTGCACAGCTCACCTTCATCGACCATTCTTCAGCTCTTTGGATTCGAGGCGCTGTTGTGGGAATTGACAGCGGCGGAGTTCCTGGACATGAGTCTGCCTTGCGCATGCTTCGTGGCGATCCCACCAGGCGACCGCGACTTATCAGGCTGCTCTTGATGGTTCGGCTGATGCACCACCCACTAGTCGCTTTCAGGCCAAAATCACTGCGGCCTTCTCTTCAACTTCCTTCTACAGTTCTATCCTAAATAAAGCGAGAAACCTTACGATGCCTTTATTGGGCCTTTCAAAATGCGGCTCTTCTCCACCAATGCTCCAATCGGGATTATCGTCACGGAGCACGCGCTCTATGCTGGACGGACGTTGACATCTGCCACCACAAGTGGTTGTCTTGAAGGCGCCATACCCTAACATTGCGCAGTTGAGGCTTGCTCGGATTCACGCTGGTAATGAGCAGCCTTTTGGCCGATATTTGTTTCTGATCTCTCCCGAGATTCCTTGGGCCCAGAATCTGTTGAATCGTAGCTACTGTATAGAACGAAGAGAGTCAGGAAGTCTCGCTGGTCATACTAATACTTCACTCCTACTCAATCCCACTGATCAGCATCCCAGAATTTGAGCGGAGGTAAGTACAATATATTAACCAACTAAATTCGATGCGACGGTTTTTGTTGAATGTACAGACCAGATTACTCCTTGAAGGATCAAAACCAGATAAAGCATTACGACAGCAGGCGGGGCGAGGTAATTGCGAAAGCGAGGGAGGTATGAGCATGGGCAGTTCCTCAGTGATTGTGTCGCCTCTTGAGGGCCATGGCCAACGCGGCTGTTCCGCGGTTGGTGGAGGTCAGATGGGTACGCATGTGGGTTTCCTTTAGGATCTTTTACGCCGATTATGGTGAGAATTTTTTACATAATCAGAAGACGATCAAAGCACCTCTAGGTGAGTGTTAAATGTCTGAATTTCGTCCCTGCATTGAAACAGCGTGATAGAGCGTCCTTTGAAAAAATCCCCAAGTGCCGTCCAAGTCGACAAGGAATTACGGAGGCTGTCCTCGCGAATTTCGGACACCTTCTTCTGGAGGCTACTCGATGGTCAGTGAAATATTCAATAAATCCATAATACGGCTCACCCCAGCAACTCTTCTTCTGTGCTAGCATCTCGAGGAAGCTCTCCAGCCTCAACGGCATCGTAATATAATTTCTCCGTTTCTTTCATGACAGTCACCAAGACGCGGGTTAGGCGCATCGGCCATATGTGAAGGAACATGATGGCCAGGGCCGCCAGGACAAGGATGCAAGCGCCAAGCGAGGCCGCGACGATGTGATTGTGGAAGACGGAGTCCCCGAGCGAAGCAAAGACAAGAGAGGTTTCACCAAAGTTGGGCATCTGGGCAATGCATTTGTGTCTGGCCCGAAACCCTTTTTATATCGGTGAGCGCCATTAAAACGAGCGCTTGTTCGCGACGATAATGAGACGCTCCGTCCGGGTCAGCGCCTTTGACACACAACAGCTGGCCATCTGGGCTATTTCCGTGGAGACGGTCGGCAGTGAGCTCCCTCTCACCCTATCCATGAAGCGAAGATCGAGAAAGCGCGAGGTTGAAAGCGACGCAAGCAGAGTTCCAGGCAAAAAGGGAGGAGGAGGTCTGAAGATGAAGCCAAGCATTTAACAGCTCTTGGCATACCGAAAGGGGTTGTTCAGCGGTTCCTTTTTCGGTTCATGTTGGGTTCATGACACCCAGATTCATGGAAGGAAGATGCGAGCTGGCCGGTCAATCTCCAGGCCACGCAGAAGGGCCTCGTGATAGGTATCCATGTCGAGAATTGGCGGTTTCTGAGGACTGTACGCCTGAAGGGCCTCGTGATAGGTGGGAATTGGCTGAATAATAGCCACCTCTGTCGTTTCTGAAGATCGTACGCCTCTAGGGTGCATTTAATCAATTCGATGTAAGAGTTTAAAACGATGTGACCAAACGCTCAAAACCAGCCGAGCATTTTTGGTTCTGAGAGCTATTTACGCCGCATTCTCTTCCCTCTAATGCGCCACAAGAAAGAAAGTAGTTCCGCCCCCCCGCCTTCCGAAGAAGACTGCCAAATCACCGAATCTGATTCATGGACCATGCCTTGATTCACTGGCGTGGGAGAGATTCGGTAGAGGGATTATGGACCGACTCGCCATTATGGACAGACTCACCATCATGGACGGACTCGAGGGAGGTTTCACCAAAGTTGGGCATCTGGGTCCAGGCAATGCATTTCCTGGAGCGGCGGTTCATATATATAGAAACGTTTTACTTCTTCCGAAGCGATCGACTTTATCATCGACGGACTCGCCATCACTTCGCTAAACCAGTACGGGTGGGGTTGGGCATTTCGGACTTTTCAGACATGAACGTGGGGTGCAGATACTCAATAGATCGCAATTGACCATTTAAATTGATTTTCATCCATTTGACCTCCAAAAGTATGCGCATGAATTATCAGGAGGATCAGAATATCACACCTACAATATTCAAAAGCTCTTTTGAAATTTATGTATCAGCAACCTCCCCCGCCCACCATGCGAGAGGACCTCCCATCCGCGCCGGCGGCTTTCGCGGGTGGAGACGCTTGAGGCGGCGGAAGAGGGAGATTTGGTGGCATTTGGGCGGTTCTTTATCTCAAATATTTCTCCATTTAGTATTCGCGTTGAGAGGGTCGTTTATTGATTTGGATTCTGGCGCAACCGGACCTGCCAACGCGCTTGGAGCTGGGCTTGCTGTTGGTTCCATATAACCGCAAGACGTTCTATCTCGTCAGGAAGAACACCCCGAGGGGGTACACAGACCAGGGAGCCGCAACTGAAGAGGTACAATAATTTAAAACGCGTTGAGTATGTAGTTCATATTTCAGCAATGTCACGGTCGAGTGGGGAATTTGGCACTCACCATTAATTGAAGAAACGTCTCTCCCTATATTTTCGTACAAGCCCACTCAGCTTGACTCAGGATCCGAACTTGGTTTCGAACTCCGACGGAGACTCCGCTCGGTCTTACCCGAGCCCTAAGTGCCGCCGAAATATTTCCAACAGCTTCAAATGGATTCATGCCGGCTCTGCTTGATTTATATGCACCGCCACTCTGCGAGGTTGACGTCAATAGTAGGCGATTCCCAAAACGACAGTACTCATCCAACAACCCGAAAAGGCAATATGGAGAAGTCTTTCAATAAACGAGTTTCAACGGACGTTGGTCATCATATTTGAAACGAGAAATTCATATGCTGGTTCGTTCATTTGACTCTTTCTTCTTGATGTTTAGGAATGTGCCCGGGTCAAAAAGG